TAAAGGTCTATCAGTGCTTTTTTTGTGGTGAAAAAAAAGTAAAATCACAAAAATACTGAACGCTGAGGAAAAGTCAAAATGGAAAGTCCCTAATCAAATGTCAAAATCAACAAAGATAATGAGTAAATGCATTTTTTTTTGGTTCTTCGTTAAAAAAAAAGATGTCATTTAAATTAAAATTTCAGATTTATAATGAAATAATTTTTCCTAAGACATTTAAATTAAAATTTAAGATTTATAGTGAAATAATAATTTTCCTAAAATTTTTACATTTTCAAAGCATTGTAGTTGTCAGATTATAGAATAACATAGTACTTGAAATTGATTTAAACTCGTAGTCTAGTGCATGCAAAGTTCCGAAGCAAAACATTCTTTATCTTCAGAGTTTTGGTGTAGGCTTAACAAATATCAAATGATCATTTCAGAAATACATTATGCTTGGAGCGCTGCGTGTCTTTACTAACACATAACAAAGTTGCTTATTGGTGTTTAAGTAGTAGGGTTGGTTATATCCTCTGTTTGTTTCAGTTGTTCTTTGGATGGTTCTTTGGTTTTGAGGTATTTAGGGTGTGGTGTTTACCATTTGAAGGAATCTATATATGTAATTCTGAAATGAAAAATATTTGATATTTCTAGTCATAAAAAAAATAATCAAATGTTTGAGCATAAAGCTGCTTTGAACTTTGAATCTGTACGATTTTCATACTTTCTTTAATTTCTTATTTTCAAAATTGAAAATGAATATCTTCAATCAAAATCAAAATCTAAATTGTATTTGACATATTATGATGTATTGGAAATGGAAAACTAGATAACATATTCTCGTAAATTAAGTTGAATTCAGGGGAAGTGGAAAATGATCCCAAAAGTTTTTTAGATATACTTTATCTTCTTTAAAATTGTTTCTGGGTATCTACATCTTTAAAGCACTGATCGCTATTAAGATAATAAAGAAGTAAAAATACATTTTTATAACAGTCAAGCCATAACGAAAATTCTGCCATACAAAAAAGAATTTGGATGTTTAATCTACATTTATTATAGAGTTATAAACATAATCGCAAAGGTTATTAATTCTTACTTGACTGAAAGCTTGTACAAGTCTTAATATTTGGTGAACAATAATAAATTTCTGTGATATATATATTATTATCACTATTTTACTGAATTTTCCTTTGATCTTACTAACAATTTCCTTTCTCAGCATAGTAGAAAGATATGGAAAGTATCTCTAGAAACTAAGGCTGCATGTGCCATTGTCAATGTAAATTTCAACGTCGTCATAAGCAAAATAGTGATAAACAGATTATCATTGGTCATCTCAACTTGATTGCTTTTCTCATTTTCGCGGTACCGGCTCAAGGGAGAAAATCAATCTCGTTGAGATGACCAATGAAATCTATAATGATTTCCAATACCCTAAAAACTTCATTTTGAGTTATCTGAAACTATCATCATCTCCAAGAGAAGAGTTATCTAACTTATCAATCCCAATAACTTACAGTAGTTATCTCCCTTTGCTTCAAGCTTCTCAACCTTGGGTTAATTTTCAACTCTCACCTTCAACACTAGGTTTTCATCCACAGATTCCAGACATTTAATAATAACTTCATTATTATGAGACCATAATTGACAACTGGTATTAATGTTTTAATTTCACTTGTTAGTCCCATTTAACAATTGCTCATCGTAATTTGTAAAATTAAATTGTCTTGAGTTTAAGCATTTCATTGTAAAAATTTCCTGTTTAATAGAAAATTAATCTTTTTAACTTCCCAAGCCATTCTGTGATCAATATATTAAAGGATAATTTTGTCCAGCTTCTTGAAACAATTTTTCTTTTTTGCAATCAAAAGTATTGACAGTGAGCAGGATCATTTCAAGATCACAAAAAAGGAGCTGAAAACTGGTCTATTTTATTCTATTTATCATGTGTACATGAAAAGGAGAAGATTGTACAACACAAAAATTTCAAATTTCAAATCATATGTTTGTTGAAATATAGCTCATTTTATACAATTTAGATCTTTTATTGAAAAAGGTATTAGACTGATCTTAACCCTATCATACCGTTTGAATTACAACATAAATTAATTTGCTCCTTGGTATCAAACCATTCTATCTTTTTCAAATTTGGTAATTACAATATAGGTAAAGCACTTGCCATCATAAAATACTTTAAAAAAATAAAATAAGTAAAACCCAATTATCAATAACTGACTGCAGCTATTCTTCATTGGATCCTTTTTGAAACTCATGGCCAGATAAAGAGTAATCTAAGAGCTTGACTCTTTAACAGGGATCCAACTTGAGCCTCATTAGTTCAAAGGAGTTTTCCATTAGTCCATAATAATTAAGAAATAATTGTTGCAAGCTATACTTTATTGTAATTTTAACATGGGTAGGCATAATACTGTAAATTCAGAAATTATTGCGTGCATTTATTATTGCGATTTTGTCATTTTAGACTAAAATGCGATTTTAATTTTTGCGATATTTAGAAAAATCCTGTTAAGTTCAAATAAAAAATTTCAAAATGCGAGTTTAAATTATTGCGATTATAACCCTGTCGCATTTTTCGCAATAATAAAAACATCGCAATAATTTCTGAATTTACAGTATATACGTGATTATTTTTGCCTGAGCGATAGCATACAATCAGTTCTGTTAACCAAGCAGTTTTAGATTTATATTAGACCCTGTTTCAGACTTTGGGGATTTAATCGCTAAAAAAGTTAAAGATAACCAGACTATTTTAGATTTAACTGGTAATCTGTTTTCTTTTCCCGGTAGCAAAAAAGAGCTGATTCCTGTAAGTCTGTATATTGGCTGCCTCTGGTTCTTATCCATTTAAGGAACCAATGATTCAGGAGAGTGCAGTAACCTTGCCTCAGTTCATTATTGTCAAGATATCAGTGATTTTCCTTTTTTTCTGACAAAAGTCATTGGAAGTAATCTTACATAAAACAAATTTTGATATAACCAATCAAAAATGCTATCATAAATAATCTGGGAACAAAAAATTTTACTTTTTCAATTGTAAATTTTGCTACTATTTTTCTTTCAAGTATAAAACTAAAGTAAAAAGTAAAAAATCTATTTTATTGAAGTATTACATGCCATTTGAGTTTTGAAATTAATTTAAATTATAAAGTATTGAAATTAATTGTTATTATAAAGAATCAGTATTTATATCATTTCTTTGAGTTCTTAATTTTTTCTTTCTAAATTCTTTTATTAAATCTAAAGATTTCATACTTTTTTACATATTTGTATTTTTTCATTTCAGCTTCTTTTTCTTTTACCACTGAAACTTCACAGAATAATTGCGTACATTTTGAAGTTGTGTACCTGCTTATATGAAATTGTTTGAGGAATTTCCCCCCATTTTTCGCTTAATTCTGATCTTGATGATTGTTTTCCAAAATTTTCAAAGATGGTACTGATTTTGTGTAATCAACTCCTGCAGTTTTCAATCTCAATCTTTTTAACTTCACACAATGATTGTACAAATATTTAAGTTGTCCACTTGGTACTATGGAATTGTTTGATAATTTTTTTCCTGACTTGGGAATTAAGTAATTTTTCATCAAAGGTAAAATAAATAGTTTTTAACCCATATCTTTTGGAATTCACAGAGAGTTTGCAAATCTATAGAAGCTTTTACAAATTTTGGGACTATACATGACTACTATGTACATGAGTAGTAAACCTTGAAAATGAGATATTTTTGATTAAACTATGCTTCAAAATATTTAAAAATGTTGATTTATATGTTTTTATTATACTATTACTACACTGTACTTTTTTTCTTACATTTGTATAAGTATTTTCATATCAGATGTCTGGTAACTTATATAAAAGCTATTATCTAGAGCTCTGTAAATAAAAAAAAATGTAAATATAGTTCTAAAATATACTTTTAATGAGTGGAAGAAATTGTGGGGTACAGAATACATTTCGTAAATTATCAAAATACAAGTTACCTGTTTAAAAGCATGTCTGGTATTTTTACAGTACTTTTTAAATGAATTTAATAAATTATTTGTATTTTAAATTGAGAATTTCTTCAGTTTCCATGATTGGAAAAAAAATGTGAGATGCCTTAGAACATTCTGGTGACTATTGTACATTTTATAATGTACAATGGAAAGGACATTTCATTACTTAGATAAAATGGATTCAGTGGACTGATTAGCATAAAAAACTATGACGGAAAACCTTTGAAAGCAGCCAAGATAGCAGCTCCAAGGAAGATGGTCAAATAAATCATTCAACCAAGTCTGAGGCTTTACCAAGAAATTAAGAAGGCAAGTTTATTTAAGCCAAATATTTGTATACATTTTCTAGAAATATTGCCAAGAAGTGCATATTAAGACAACACGCCAGCACCCTTCTGATCTTCTGCATGCAAAACACCATTGATGTATTAATTTTAATAAGTTTTATAATTTATGTTACCATTTTCTTGAACAAGAGGGGCCTCGGTGGCCAAGTGGTCTAAGTAGTTACTACTGTAATCACTAGCCAGTCAACACTCAGGTTGTTAGTTCGAACCCCGCTCATGCGGGTGCACTCGACTCCAATCTTAATTGACTAGGATTGTCAGTTTTCCTATAGAAGGTCGGTGGTTTTCTCCGGGCACTCCGGCTTCCTCCACCAGTTAAATTCCAAACAAAAACCTTTGACTTGTTTTAATTTTATTATGTCAAGTTTTCTGTTTAGTCAGGTTAATAGTTATTCCTTGCTATAAATCAATGACATTTTGTATTTATTTGCATTACTACCAAAATATCGAATTAATTAGCAATGTTGCTAATCATCACATGTTTTTCATTTTCCGCTGCTAGGCGAGACATCTCTGTCAACAGTTTATCTTACAAACTTGTGTTGATACTATTGTGTATATTTTGTAAGAAATCAGAACATTATATAGTGACTTTATATTTATAGAGAAATGGATTTGTAAAATATATAATGTGTCTTTTTTAATTCTTTTTAGGTTCTTCTGTGATATGTTTTCATGGTGTGGGAATAAGACTTGGTGGTCTAATACAGCTAATACGAAGGTATGTACCAGTATGTGAAATTAGTCCTGTTTTGAAAAAAGAAAAAGTATTTATAATGTATTTGGAAATAGCATGTGCTCTAAGCGTGAAGGTTTGTAGGAGTTTGGTAAGAAGTCTTTGCTTTCTTTAATTGCCTTTAAAGGAGTAAATTTAATTATCTGATTTGATTATGTAAAAGTTTGTTGGGATGCTGGTTTGCTGTTCTCAACTTCTATTACATATTTATAGACTTTTATTTAATTTGCCACTGGACATTTAGCAACCAACAATCAAATGAATCAATCATTCAAAATATTGAATATACATACAGTATATCAAAAATGATCCTTTTAAACAATCTTGAATGACTAATCATTTTATTTTTCAGGTTAGCATCACAGCTTGTCTGTAAAGATTGAAGCTGGGAGTGGGCATTGGAGCTGACTTTTATGGTAAGAACCAATACAAAAAAAACTATGTAAAAAAAGAAATATGTTAGACATCTACCATTGACTTGTTTTTCATCCTTTTCTGCTAATAAAGACTGGTAGTTCAAAAAATATATCAGCAAATCACTTTTAAACAAAGTAAGAGAAAGGTTTTATGAATCATGATTATAATGACCAGTTACTTATTATTTTGCATTTGATATTGTTTCAATTTTCAGATTTTGACAATAACGTTTAATTCTGTATATTTCTTTTTCAGGTAACTGTGGCTGCATAAAAGGGCTATGTGATTTTACTGTAACAGTAAAGAATGTAATTCAGACTATTTTTGTGTATGTTTGAGAAAATGTTTATAATTTTTACAAAAAGAAAAAAAAAATTATGTACTGGTTCTCCATTTTCAACAAGATTGGAAGTTGTAGGTTAATAGGTCTTTGCAATTTCAAAAATTACTTTCTATTTTCTGTTCATACTCATGTCTAGGCAAAACACTTCCAGTAGTTTAAGAATGGAGAATCTAAAAAAAAGAAAAGAAAAAAAAAAAAAAAAAGAAAAAGAAAAAAATGTTCAATTATTGAAATGTTTTTTATTTTTGCAAATTGTAATATATTTTTTCACCTTTGTGTCATTTTTAGCTGAGTTTATAACAAAGGGTATATTATTTTAAGAATATTTTACAAGAAGCATAGTTGAAGAATATCTTGATGAAAGTAGATTGATTGATTTTTGGTATTTAACACCACTTTCAGCATGATTTGCTATATCTTGACTGCCAGTTTTTATTTGTGGAGACAGCCTGGTGAAAACATCCCCTTCAACAGAGAAACTGGCAACTATTGACGTTAAACACACCTACAATGTAAGTGTTCAGAGTGTTGACAGGCTAGTGATATAGTAGTTGAACTACTTTGACCATTCAGCCACCATTACTACATCCGCACTAAATATGTTATTGAAATGTGTTGAAATTTTGTAATTTATTTTTTTATTTTGATAAACGGTATACTATTTATGTTTTTTTGTTATATATAACAAAGATGTGGAGTTCTAACAGGGTGAAATTTAGGTCAAAGGGAGGTAATTTATTATACTGTGTTTAACTTCGAATTCAAATACTTGAAATTCCCTCAATGTTAGATTTTTATTTACTTGGATACTCACATTTTTTTACATATCAGATGTTTTCTAGATAATAGAAATTTAGGGTGGGAAAAATTATGTGTCACTTAAAATAATTACGTGAAATTTTTCAAAAAGTTTATTAATTGAAAGTGCATCTGATATTTTTTATGTATGTTACTTAATTTTCTAAAAACAAATGGACACAACATAGATTGACAATTAGATATTGAGAAGAACCACCTTGTCAGCCAGGATAGCAGCTCTTAGGAAGATGGTCAATTAAATCTTCAACCAAGTCTGACTCTTTACCATGAAAATAGAAAAGGCAAGTTTATTTTAGCCAGATCTTTTAAGATAACAGACCCTTCCGAAATATTGCATTTAAAACACCATTGATGAATTAATTTACCAGTTTAGTATTTAAAGATACAAGATACATGAACAAGATTTTCTATTAAAATATCAATAGTAAATTCTTAAAATAGTCATTAAACTTCAAGAAAAGACCAGTACAATTTAAAACACGATTTTGCATTCAATGGGAGATAACTTTGTAAAATATTCAGATATTTTTTGTGCAGTTAAATTTAAATCTGACGTTTTTTTACTTTTCTATCTTTTATATTGATTTAAAAAAAAAATGATTTTATACAATTGTCTACCTGCAATAAGAAATCAGAACAATATTTAGTAAATTTTAGGTTATCGGTAACACATAAATTGATTTACAAAATGTATAATGTGTTGATTATAATTTCATTTCAGGTTCTTTCTGAGACATGTTTTCATGGTGTGGGAATAAGGCTTGGTGGTCTCATACAGCTAATACAAAGGTATGTACCAGTATGTTAGTCCTGTTTTGGAAAACTCAAATGTATTATAAATATTTTATGGAAAAACAAGATTTGAATGCTTAAAATATTTTTTACAGGAAACTACTCTTATTATTATATCCGTAACCAAATAAGAGTAAAGTTTAGGATCTGAATTGTTTACATAAAAATGTGTTGGCTTGTTGGATTGCTGTCTCATCCATATGTTCTTTACATATATAACACATTTTAAGACTATTTCTATTTAATGATTTGCCACTGGACCTTAAGCAACCAACAACCAATCATTCAATCTATTCAATATACATACATAATACCAACAAAGAACCTTTTAAACAGTTTTTATATGCCCGTTTACGGGACATATTATGGTATACCGTTGTCTGTCTGTCCGTCTGTCCGTCCGTCGTCAACATGTCGGACATTAACTCAAAAACGCTTTAACCAATTTGCATAAAACTTTGGTGAATTGTTTATATCTATTGACGTGAGCTTCCTTTCGCTTTTTATAAATTTTAGATTTTACGTTTCCGAGTTATGGGGTTTTGTTCATTAAAAAAAGGGAGTTTTTCCTGTTTTCGGACAAAACTCAAGAATGCTTTCACCAACTTGCAAGAAATTGTGGTGAATTGTTTATATCTATTGACATCAGCTCCCTTTCGATTTTTATAAATTTTAGATTTTACGTTTCCGAGTTACAGGGTTTTATTAACGAATTATCATTTTATATTTCAGGTTAGCATCACAGCTTGTCTGTAAGGATTGAAGCTGGGAGTGGGCATTGGAGCTGACTTTTATGGTAAGAATCAATACATAGATTTATGAACTTTTCATCCAAGAGCATTTTAAAGCCCAAGATTTTTGTTAGGCACAGATGTAAATCTTACATATTAATGTCTTCTTTACTTATAGTTGAATAAACAATTTAGGAGATATAAAGATATATAAGGGAAGTCAAAAAGTATAATGTATAATGTGAAATCTTGTGATTTCAGTTTTTTTGTTATCTATAGTTGTCCCCATATATGAAAATATGTAAGTGTGGTATGTATGCCAATGAGACAGCCATCAACCAGAGACCAAATGATGTGGATGCAACTTAATATCACCCTATGCCTTCAACAATGAGCAAAACCTATATTGTATAGTTAGCTATAAAGGTTCAACATGACTAAATGTTTAAAAATTCAATCAAGTATGTTAATAGCCTGATATACTATTAAGCTATAAAACAATGTTAAAAAGATATTTGTCAAGATATCAGCCAATGACTTGTTTTTCATCCTTTTATTGCTAAGAAATACTGGTACTTTAAAATTTATGTCAACAAATCACTTTATAACAAAGAAAAAGAAATGTTCTATACATTATAATTGTAATGCTCAGTTAAAAATAATTGTTTTTCATTAAATATTATTTCAATGTTCATGAGTAATGTATATTTCTTTTTCAGATAACTGTGGCTGCATAAAATGGTTGCATGTGTGATATAACTGCAACAGTAAAGAATGTAATTCAGACTATTTTTGTGTATGCTTGAGAAAATGTTTATAATTTTTTTACAAAAAAAAAACAAAACAAAAAATATGTAAAGATTCTCCATTTTCAACAAGATTGGAAGTTGTAGGTTAGCTTGTATTTGACATTACAAAAATTCTTTCTATTTTCCCTTTATATTCATGTCTAGTCAAAACACTTCCAGCAGTTTAAGAATGGATAATCTAAAAGAAAAAGAAAAAAAAATGTTCAATTATTGAAATGTATTTTTTTTTTGTTTTTTGCAAATTGTAATGTATATATTTTTGCCATCTTTTTGTTATTTTAGGATTTGAGATACTTTCAAATTTTACAAGTTACTTTATACATGTAGTTAATGCAATTAAATCTGCGGATGTGAATATTCCCACTAAATTTCTTAGCAAAATTATTTTTGTTTTTTTTAGCAACGTTTCAAAATACCTTACAATAGCAAATGCCTCTCTAGTGTAAACTAAAAAGATGAATAATGGTCTGCAGTAAATATATCCCCTTACAACCTTTTCTTTCATGTTAATTTTAATATCTTTAAGATATGTGACAAGGGTGCTCTAATGCAGAGGAATTTACGAAGTTAAGAAGTTAGAAATATATTTTTTGCACTTTTTTTGTCATTTTTAGCTGATTTTGGTTTGTAACCAAGGTGATATTTTTTAAAGAATAATTTTACAAAAGGCATAATTGAAGAACATCTTGTTGAAATTGGATTGGTTGATTTTTGGTGTTAAACACCACTTAAACATGATTTACTATAATTTTGGCTGTAAATTTTTATTTGTGGAGACAGCCAGAGTGCCTGGTGAAAACATCACCTTCATCAGGGAAACACTCACTGGCAAACCCTAGTCAAATTAAGAATGTAGTTACACATTTCATGTGAGGGTTCTCAGTGTTGACAGGCTAGTAATACAGTAGTTGAACTACTTATAGGACCACTCTGCCACCATAAGTCGATCAGTACGAAATATTTTATTGAAATGTGTTAGATTTTTGTTTTCAATCTATTTTTTAATTTTAATTGTACTATTTTATTTATTTTGTTTAATATAACAAGGATGTGGAGTCCGAACAGGGTGAAATTTGGGTCAAAGGGAGGCAATTTATTATACCCTTGTTTAACTCCACATACTTGAAATTCCCTCAATGTTAGGATTTTCATCTACTTGGATATTCATGTTTGTACATTTTTTTTTAATATCAGATGTATACTAGCTAATATTGACTATTATTTAGAGCTCTGTAATAAAAAAAAATAAATGTAAGCAGAGCTCTAGATAAGTATGCAGGGTGGGAGAAATCTTGGGTCATTAACAATTGATTTGCTGAAATTTTCAAGAAAGGGGATTTATTGGAAATGCATCTGATATATTTAATGTATAAAACTATATTTAAAAAAAAAAGATGTTAAGATGATGAGGAGAGCCACCTTGTCAGCCGGGAGAGCAGCTCTAAGGGAGATGGTCAATTTAATCTTCACCAAGTCAGAGGCTTTACCATGAAAAATATGTGGTAAGTTTATATATTCCACAAATTTTATGGTAATGATATATATATAGGCATTTAACATTATTTTTTTAAGGGTTCTTTTCTATCAGTGTTTGAAATTTAGAGTATCTAGTCTTACATTTGTTTTCTGTCTGGTATCGAGTGAGCTGTGTTGGATAGAAACCAACTGTATGCAAGTTATTATCAATGAATTTGTAAACTTATGTGGGTCGAACAAATTTTTATGCAAAGTCTGTAACTGTTTGAATATTGAATTGATATAGAATCATTTTCATAAAAGAGTGGACAAGACGATTTCTTGGCGCTCTTATGTTATCTATTGACTGGGTCAGATAAGGTGAAAGTTTGTCTGTAACGTCCACTTGTCACATTGAATGTGTTATAGACATTTAAACTGGGGTCGCCAAAGGTTCTAAATGCCTACATCAAATAGTACGAATTACTAGCAGAGGACTAAACCTTGTGTGTTGATTTAAATGTTGAATAACTATTTTCTTTTTTTCTTCTCTTGTGCCTACATGTACTTTGCTCTTTTATTCTATTTAAATCCCTATTGGAAGGCCTCTGACAGACTGAGTGAGCGTAAAATCACTGTTATCTATAGCCAATGGCAAACAAGTTAAAGGTACTGTAAATTCAGAAATTATTGTGTGCAATTATTGATAAATAAATTTGGTGTATTTGCTGTCTTCTGATTTGTTAAAAGTATTACTTTTATTTTCAATGTTGTCAATTTTTATGGCGAGACGCCCACTCTGACATTGTATATTCATACGCCAACATCCGTGTACGTTATGGTTAATATAAATAATATAAAAAGTTCTTTGAGCCTTATTTTTGATAGAAATTTATTTATAATGAATGGCTATAATTTATTTTGAATTTATTGAACCATAAAATTAATTTTTGACTCTTCACATTTTACATAATCCGCTTTGCGGATTATTCAGTGTGAAGAGTCAAAAATTAATTTTATGGTTCAATAAATTCAAAATAAATAATAACCATTCATTAATTGCGATTTTGTAATTTTAGACTAAAATGCGATTTTAATTTTTGCGATATTGAGAAAAATCCTGTTTAATTCATATAAAAAATTTCAAAATGCTACCCTACTGAAAATGAGTACGGGATTCCACTGGATTTCCAGTGAAATTACACTGGTTTTCAGTGGAAAAAAATATTCCGATGGAATCCCATTAGAATTTCATCCAAAACATCTGGAATATTTTTCACACTGTAATTCCAATGGAAAATCAGTGAAATTTCCAATGAAACTTCCAAAGATTTTCCAATTAATTTCCAGTGGAATATTATTGTTTATATTTCAGTGGAGTTTTGATTTAATGCAAATATTCCAGTGGAATTTTGGACTTAGAAATTTAAAGGAATATATACTTCTAATGTTACATGGTTAAATGTAATATGAAATCACTTGCCTAGTAACAAATGAAAATAATCATTTGGTCTGAAAGACCCCCCCCCCCCCCCCATATAAAATAAGTAAAATGGTAGCTCCTCAGATGTAGGGTGAATATAATGCATCACCATATAGCCTATGAGTATGACACATTGAAAGGATACATTTTAACTATTAAGAAATAAAATTAAATGTGCAATAATCAGATAATATAAATAAAGAAATGAATATTTTATATCAAATTGGGTTGAGAATAAGATTCTGGTTGATTTAACGAACAAAAACAATTAAGATTCTTTTTGAAAAATGTGCATGGCTCTTAAAAGGGCCGTTTTAAACAGATCTGTTCCAGAAATTATCTTCAGACTGTACGAATTGTTAGGATAACTCCGTTTTTTTCTTCAAGTGACCTTACTGGCAACTGCCCTGCACTACAGGAATTATAGTTATCTCGTACCATTGTAAACTCGTACCAATGTCAACTCGTACCACTAAACAAAAACTCGTACCAATGCAAACTCGTACCACTGCTAACTCGTACCACGGTAAATTCATACCATTGTAAACTCGTACCAACTTATTTAAATGCATTCAAATGGTGTTTAATGATGAATATATACTTTAATTTCACTCAATACCCCTTAAGTCTGTAAAATTTATATAATTTGAAATTACAATAACCAATTTGTAGCTAATTTTCCTTGTCTAATTGGATAGAGAAAACCGTGGCAGATTGGCTTTGTTGTCTCCCTTGAATAGACTCTTTTTTAAACTTTTACTGACAACTATTTGATTTAATTTTTAATCATTCCAAATCAGTAACATTGAATAGATTTGGGTATTTTTCTATTGTTTCTAAAAGGAATTTTATTTAATAAAAGAATTTATTGATTGTGTTTTAAAGGTTTAAAATTGTTTATGACCAACAGTTAGAAAGTATGAAATTTATTTTTATACATTGTACAATATTTAGCACATTTCAGCAGAATATGACCATGCTTATATGATTATACAAGATGATTAGTTACAGATAAAAAAAAAACAAGTTGATTAGTTAATAATCAAACCATAATCACACAATTAAAGGAATTTAATATATTTATTAGCACATGGTAATTAAGAAATTACATTCGTATTTTTGTCTAAGTTTTCATTAAAATCTGGTATAAATTTCAAAGATATTTTAATTTTTTGTATAAAGCTTAAAAAAAAAATAATCATAAAACATTCGTATTTTTGTCTAAGTTTTCATTAAAATCTAGTATAAAATTCAAGTAATTCAACTTTTTTTATTTAGTTTACCAAAAAAAAAATCATAAAACATTCGTATTTTTGAATATATTTTTAATGGTACGAGTTTGCAGTGGTACGAGTTCTGATTGGTACGACTTCCCAGTGGTACGAGTTTACGTTGGTACGAGTTAACTTTTTTGGTACGAGTTTACGTGGTACGAGTTTACAATGGTACGAGTTAACTTGCTTCCCACTACAGTCTACATGTATACAATAATATAATTATTTCTCCTTTGACTTCATCATGTTCATTAACTATTACTGGTCTACTGTTCTTTTGAGAAAAGTAAAGTGAACGGCTTTCATTTTCCACATTGTTCTATAAACTGTTTCGGTATCTTAACTTTGTCGGTGTGATGAATTTTTCATCATTTTCATGTCCTGAACTCGGCACTGGAACTCGGGTCATATAAGTTAATCTATAGAAACATTTCACATATAATCCGCTCCAATCAATTGTACGCTAAATGTCAGTGTTTTGGCATAATTTGAGCAGAAAATTCGTGAAACTGTAGTCTATAATGTTGTTTTTCAACACACATGTTTACATTCATGGAGGCTGCCATTTTTTTCTACCAGACTATATATATAACCGCTGATTTGATTGGATAACTCTATTTCCGGGATTTCCGATCGGCCAATCAGATAGTCGTTATCATTAATACACGGAATGTGTTCAAATTTGAAACTAAAAATATTGTACGAGTATGTATCCTGTCCAGCATTGTCCAGCTGTGGTTACATTAATCATGTTAATAATAATTAATACTCAACAACCTTCGATAAATAAAGAAATAGACATTAAAGGCAGAACATTTAGGTTGACATTAGCTGTTGAACCAAGAATTTACGATGAGACGATGTGCTGATGTAGGGCAGACGTACAGCAGATACAGGTAATTTTTAAGAGATTTTACATTTGATTTTTACATCATGAATATTTTTAATTAAAATTAAAAAAAGAAGATATACATCCCTTTAGTTTCATTCATGGGCTCTGTTAGTTCACACTTTGAGGATTACCATTTGGTGTTCTGAAAAGGGGGAGGTGGGAATGTAATAATAATTTTATTATTCAATATTGAATTACATTGTGTGCCTTCACAATCAAGGAAAGATGTTTACAGTTTACTACACAATGTCAGGCACATTCAACTTAATTTTGTCATGTTCTGATTTGGATGGACATGCAACACAAAAAATCCCTAAAGGTTAATATTGTGTTTTAGAGTCTTTATACTTAACTGAAAGAAGCTTCTTAATTATATATGTACATTGTATGATAAATATCAGTAATATATGATGCATACAGGTCATGACCAGAATTAAAAATTATTAATAAAATGTTTTTACATTTTATTTAGGTTGTCCATATATTAAAAGGGATTGATCATGGTGAAGGTACAAAGCTGCAAAAATGATGACTGTGCATCGATCAATATCCACTCAATAATATGAAAACATGATGAAAACAAACGAACCAGCAGCAGAAAAGAAATTTGAGTATATGATTATTGAAAAGTACTTATTGAATTATTTTTTCATCCTTCCCACACTTGAAATAAAAATACATTAATCATGTTAATCATTCACATCTATAAGCTGTAAACACATCTCAAAAACATTGATCTGATCATCATGCACAATGGTTAATCATGGCTATTATGTGAACAAAATGAGGTGTCTGGTATGCTTCAACCAGATAGTAAACCAACAACAAACACAACACAAAGGGAAAGATAATATGAGGCTAAATAAAAATATATGCGTGGTTCCAATTACCTTACCTACCTTTTTTTTTAGTCTTAACAATAGCCTACCCTAAAGATTTTTTTGTCATTTTTCAGTATGTACTGTTTAAGTCATAATGTTGCTCCATAGACATGATAGACTCAATGTAAAAAAAAACCATAAAATAAAAAAAATTCTTACCTACCTACCCTAATTTTTTTTTAAATGTAACTGGAACCACACATACTATTTTATTTGGCTTTGAGAGACACCTGATCCATGAACAATAAAAGTCTATTTTGATAAAAAGAGATGTGTGTTATAAGTCTAAGAGACAGCAACCCAACAACTATAGCCAAAGATATCTAGAGAACACATAGTCTTCAACAATAGACATACATGTGTCTAAATTGCTCTTAGTGTATAAATGTTGTGAATAAATTACACACGAACACAAATAAAATATGCCAGTAACATATATTTTTGAATAATTGCAGACTGGAGCATGGTATTGTAATGTTATTTTAATTCAAAATTCTATGCATGTTATGATGTATGATTTTTTTTCTTTCAGATTAATCAATGAAGACTTAATGGAACAGGATTGGAATGCAGAAACTTTGGACTTAATTCATGAATAATATCAATGGATGATGAAGAAAACTGACCAAACTGACAAAGTATTTCGTATGCATGTAAACTGGACATTTTTGTTTGTTTAATGCACAATAAACAAATTTGTAAAATTGAAAATCAAAACCATTTGTGAAAGATTTCAAGAGGACCAAAAGTTACCATGGACTTATGAATGATTTAACCAGAAAAATGATTTACATGTACAATTAAGTAAATACATCTTGGACTAAAAAATGATAATTTATCAATGTTAATATTTTAAAGAGGTTGATCTTTTCGTTTAAAAGGTCTTAAATGTGGATGATGTATAAACTGTTGTAATTTCTTTAATTGTTGACTTGCATTAAAATGGTTATTGTCTTATTTCAAGTTGTCTTATTAATTCATTCAAAAATAAGCAGTGCATGCAAAATGATATCTAACATTTCAGTGGAATTGTCAATTTCCATTGAAATATCACTGGTTTTCTTTGGTTGATTGTTACTCTTTCCAATGGAATTACCACTGGTATCCCAGTAGAAAACAATAAATGTCCAGTGGGAAAACAATGGTATTCCAACGAAGTTTTCACTGGTATTCCAATGGAATTTCCACTGTATTCCACTCGAGTATTCACCGGAATCCCACTGGATATTCCACTGATATCCCAATGGAAAACAATGAATGTCCAATGAAAATCCCGACCAAATTTCCCAGTGGTAATACAGTGGTATTCCAATGGAACTCTGATGAAACTCCACTGGTATTTTCAGTGAAATCCCACTTTACATTTTCAGTAGGGTAGTTTAAATTATTGCCAATACAACAATGTTGCATTTTTCGCATTAATAAAACATTGCAATAGTTTCTGAATTTACAGTAATTGAGTTAGTATTATTACCAACATAAGTATTGAGGTTGTCTATGCTGTTATGAAAATGATTTTAAGAATCATCAAAAGAGAACAAAACCATCCGATTTTGTAATTGAATATTCCAAAATCATTGTCTTATACATATACGTGCACTTGCACAAGGTCAATTTCTATCTCTAGCAGTTTAAAGTTTATATAGTGAAGATGATAATGTATAACAGGTTTTAATAAATGAAACATAGCATTATTTTGTTAGTCTTCTTAGAGACAGATTGATCTGTAAAACAAGTAATTATTTTTTTATTTTTTTTATATTTAGGTTGTTATAATGATGATGTTTTCATGGTGTTGGGAGTAAGACTTGGATGTCTGATATTGTTAACATGTTGGTAGGTAATCAAGCATCTTTTTAGTAATATAATATTTGAAATCAATTTCATAAGGTTCTTTAGTACCAAAAAAATAATTTTACACTGATGAGATACCGGTTGAATTTTTTTGGTAAATATAAAACTGAGTTTATAATTCAGAATACCAAATATTTTTTCCATGATTTTTTGTTATCCTAGTGCAATTTTAAATTTAGTACATGTGTAATAATTATTTTTTAGGAAAGTATAGTATAACTGACTACTTTTATATTCCAGGTTAGCATCAGGTTTCCATTGGGTTACTTGCTGGGATAAAGCTGGGATAAGGTGAGAACTTATTCATCAACATACAACTTTAATGTGTTTATGTTATAGTGTGATGAATGTCACTAAATAGATTTCAATATATATATTTTTTTTTAATTTACAATTAAAAAAAATCAGTATTCATTCTTTTCATTTTAAAATAATGTACCCTTTAAAGCAGATACTAGATCTGAAGATATATGAAGGGGAGATAACAATAAAATCGGATATTTTTGATACTATATATTTTTGAGTAATCAATATAAGTAATAAACAAATTGTTTAACATACACTGATGTCTGTTCTTTATTCCTGTTAGATTATTTTAAAATTAAGAATCAACAATTGAAATTTAACTTTGTTTCTTTTTCAGTCGAAAGAGTTGCTGTTGCTGCCTTCCTTTGAGTATGGTAAAATGCTGCCTTCCTTTGAGTATGGTAAAATCCTCAGACTACAATCCTGCAAACCATTGGATGAACTGTTGCTATCTTTTGTAAAAAATCAGCAGATATTTGTCTTATAAGCAGAATGAATTATAAATGCAATTAATTTTTAATGCTTTATTATTCAAAATATTTATTTCATTATTTTTTCTTGCATTCAATTATTGTTTTGTGATTGAAGAAATATAAAAAAAAACTGTGAAATTATTGTTATTTGAGAGGTCCCAAAGGTATGATGTATGGTTTCACAAGATACCCATAAGACTTGCTTCAGTTTACATATATTTTTTAAGTTATGTACACTGGTTAAGAATTATAAGTCTTTTGTGAAATGATTTTTTCTGGTTAGAAACCTATTAAGTAGGACTTTGATGGCCAAACACTAAAAGGGAATAAAACAAATCCCCTATTAAACAATTTAAGTACTGAGTTTTTGGTGCAATATGAACTAGAAATAAAAATGTTTTGACTCTGCATTCTTTACATTCATACAAATTAATGGCTGTCAGTTTTATTTATTGGTTTTGTTTATATATTATAAATGCATTATTCAGCATCTGAGGCCACTCAAGTGAAAATAATTACATAGTTTTTGCAGTTTGTCATATTTTCTCATTTTTGTGTGATTGATTTCTATATTTTTTCTCATTTATGATTATTTATATTTTAATGTTTGATTTTTGAGGCTTGTACTCAGCTTCTAAACAATTACCTCCCCCCTCCACATGTATAACCAGGATCCTGTAAAAGAAGTTTTGATTTTGATGGATGGATGGATAATTAAAAATGCAAGATTTTTTTAATGTGCTAGTTCATAATGTAAAAGTCTACACAAGACATCTAACCCTACCTGAACACATTATTCTGACTTCCAGCTGACCAGTCTTTGCTCCTACTCCTAATTGCTGAATGCTTAGCAGGGGAGCATCAAATACCAATTTTCAATTCTTTGATATGACCCAGGGCAGGACCAAATCCCATGCCCATCTGCACTCATGTTGAGCATAAAAAGGTTATTAAAGAAGATTTGTCTGTCTGTCTGTCCATTATCATCTCTCATCCACCACAGTTTATAAACTATTGGAAAGTTTTCATTTAAAATTTCAGATTATCTTCTGTATCTAATGGCTGTGTGTATTTTATTTTATTATAATGAAATTTTGGGGTTCTCAATTGTAATGAATGGACCTCCTAAGTATTTGAAAAAAAGGGAAAGAAGCTTCTCATACCACCATTTTATCATGTGAAGGATAGGTTGGTTCAAATATATTTGTTTTAATCATGTTTTTAGTAGTTGGATCTCATTATGACAAAATTTTAATGACTTAAATTCAAAATAAATTTGGGGTTCACACTGATATATATTACAACTATAGCTTCAATGTAAATTTTCTAAGGCTTTGCTATAACAAGATTTGTGTTTTATCTGGTTTTATCTGATTTTAGTGGTTTTTATGTGATTTTATTTGTTTTTACTGTCAAATCTTGTTATACCAAGCCTTAGTATGATTGAGTTTATATATTTTGATTATACATGCAATTCAAAATATAAATTTACATAATGAGATCAGACATTTATTATGCTTTTAACTCTTCTTAGTGGATAAAATAGAAAAATGAATGAACATAAATATTGAAGTGGTCGTTGAAGATTGACCAAATTACAAGATTTATAAATGCAGAATCTTGCTCTAACTAAATCTATGTTCTTATCTGCTGAACCAACCTATCCTTCAATATGAGTAAAAATATTTTATAAATGGAAAAGTCCATTCTTCGATTGGGGAACCTTTGCATGTGAAAAAAATATACACAATGCCAACAGATACTGAAGATTATTTGAAAGTTTAGGCAAAAACAATTCAATCCTTTTAATTGTGATTGGAAGTTGTAGACGGATGAGCAAACAGATGATATACTTGCTGACTATGGCACATTTCCTAAAGGATATGGACTATGGGTATGGGTTTTGCTCATGGTTGAAGGCTGTAGGTGACTGATAGTTGTTAAATTCTATGTCATTTGGTCTCTGGTGGAGAGTTGTCTCGTTGGCAATCATATCTCCTCTTTTTATTTTATATGAAATAATTACTTATTACTTCCTGGGCAAAAAGTTCTGGTTCCAAGAAAATAATAAAAAAAATATTTATATCATACATGTATTGTTAAATAACTATCCTACTTTGATATAAAGAATTGACTTTGGTTAGAAATTGGGAGGAATTATAAAGAAACTTTATATACAATATAAGAGCTTGGGGTTATAAATGTTTAATGAAATGCAGTTAACTATTTCCTTGGTGATCTAATAATTTTTGCATGGATCACGATATTAGTTTATTTAAATAACCCAGTAAATAAATTGAGTACACCTCATAAATGAATTTGATTCATGTACTTTTATGCATTTTTTATCTTAGTATTTACCATTGTATTCCTTGTTATATTTGTAAATGCCTCTTCGTATGTGACAAACTGAGGATTCATATATTTTATGGAATTATATAAATTTATTTTAAGTTTGGTATTTAAAAGTATTGGAAAGCACCAAGTTTAATATTGAGCAAAAAAAAATATTCCTTTAAGACCTAAGGATATTAAAATTTAAGACATGTATCTCAGAACAGAATTGATTTTCTAAATTCTATTTAAACAGCTAGTCTGGGAACTGGTATCAAGAAACTAAAAAGAATCCTCAGCTCTGTCAGTTATTTTGTATAATTGTAAAATTGTAATATTTAACCAATGATACCTTACCCATGATGCAGATCCTTTTCCTCCTTTTACTTATAAAGGGACTAAAAACTTATTATTATTATTACAATTTCTTTGGTATTTGTACACACTTGATGGAGCAGAATGGGTCTGGTTTCATTTGGGTATTTTATATTATGATGCATGATAATGATATAAATAAATAGGTAAATAAAAATTTAATTGAGAAAACCTATCTTATATTTTATTTGAGTCTGAATGACAAATAAAGGGGGAAGAGGTTTCTGTGGTCAAGGGTAACACACAGCTGATTTATTGTATGGTATGGACGAAGTTGAAAAAGCGAGACTTGGGCATGCTTTTTCCATAAGCAGCAGCTTCAACAATGTATTTGATTGTGATAAGTTCAAGTTAAAGAAAACAACTAGTGGTAGGTCAATGATATTTGGTATGCAGTTATATAAGCATTGAAACATCTTATTTCTAAGGAGATTATTTTGCTTCTCTCCCTCAGTCATAGTCGACTTAAAACTTTTAATTAGTTTATATATGTATAAGTTTGTGATTAGGTCAATTGAAAGGGAACTATAAGTGGTATGTCAATGATATTTGGTATACAGATGTATAAGCATTGACAAATCTCAGTTCCATAGAGATTGTTCAGCTCCAGCCTCAGTCATGGTTTATTGACTGAATGTTTTGCATTATTTACATGTGATTTGTGATTAGATCAGTTTAAGATGAGTGACTAATATCTGATATTTGGTATGCAGTTGTATTGGCATTTGCAAGTCTCATTTTCATAGAGATTATTTGGTCCTACTTCCTTATCATGGTTCATGGACTTTGAAACTTTCACAGTTTAACAAGGAACCAATTGATAAGTCAATGGTGTTGGGTATGCAGTTTTATAAGCATTAGCATTTCCATGGTGTTTTTATTTTGCCCTGAACTGTCAGTCATGGTTCATTGCATAGATAACAAGTTTAAATATTGCAATTTAATTTCAACATTTGCATTATACCACCAAAAAACACAAGACATATCTCTGTGTCAACAGTTTATATTTCCATCTCTTGGTATCTTTCAACATCATGTTTTGAGTTTTAAATGTCACAGAAACTTCTTTGCTAGTTTAAACAAGACTTGACACAAATGATGATTGTTACCTAGGAATAACATGACAGAAATGTTCATTAGACTTGCTGATTACCTGATTGGCTGCCAAGTCTTTAAATAGATCTAGAATTCTAAAATGATCTAGTCTATATAAAGGCTCATCAGATACAAAACACACGGATACAGATCTAGCAGTGGATGCTCCTGATATAAAACTTCATAATCAAGACTGAAGAAGAATGAGTTAATCCATACCTTGTATGCAGTTGCCTTATGGTCTGGTTTAATCTGGCATATGAACATTATCTTGATTCCATTTTTAATTGTATGTGTACATTATTTGTTTTCAAATTAATTTGACAGTTTTTATGTGTAATGAGGACAATTAATTCTCTTATGGTTATTGCCTGTGATCTATTTCTCACATAGATATATTTTGTATCACATTGCATGGATTGGGATAAGAAAAAGGTTTACGAAAAATTTGTTAATTTGAGTGGCTTATCCTGCACCATTTGGTCCAGGTACACAGTTATTGTCCTTTGATTTTCGTTGTCCACGAATATAGTCCCTAGTGTGGACAGTGTGTTACTTGTCGATTTTTTTTATACCCCTTCCGAATTTATTTCTCCATGTTTTATGACTCAAATAGTAAGTAGGGGGGTGAAATGACACTAAAAAAATTTGGGTCATGAATTTTAAAGTAAAGTAGTGATTTGGTCCAGCTGAAAAATGTT